ATCCAAGTTCCACTGACAAAGAATCCTGAATCCAGTTGCTGGAATCTGGAATCCACGGCGTGGAATCCAGAATCCAGGACTGTCTTGGATTCCCTTATATGGGGAGACACGGAGACTCCGTCATTTTGCGTTGAAGACAGCAATCAATTCGCGAATCTTTACGCATTTTAAGTCTATATTAACTCAAAGAACTGGTTGCCTGTGTCATTTCAGTATAGCCACTTAAGGGTCACTCATAGGTCCTAAGCCATAATTTCTCGATGGGATTCGTCCCATGGGGGACTCCCATATGAAAGGGGTGGGGATGCTCATCGGAAATGTTTAATTAAACCCCTAAAGGAGACCAATCTGAGCGTGGCCCAACCTTTTTTGACCCCTAAAAGCGATCATTTTAAACCTTGATTACATGAATCGAGTGAGTAAAAGGAATTGAAAATATATAACTTTTTTAGGTTTCTTCGCGTGCAAGTTAAACTGAGACCTTTACGGCTAAAAATAATTGCGTTTTGCCCAGCACACCCGAATTGAGACCAAAATCCGAAATTTACACCCCTAAGCGAGACGACGAGCATCCCCTCCCCTTTCATATGCGATCCTTCCCCCCCCCCGCTACGGGGGATTTCTCCTCCGTTTCTGAGAAGGTCGAAAAAAAATTATCCGGCTATTATGTAACATGCATGCACGTGATCAGATATTATATGGGACCCTAACATTATGCAATATAGCTTGTTGTTTGGTACCGGTGTTTATCATAGACATCGGTAATACATTCGTGGATTTTACTGACAGAGACTGGAACAGTATACCTTCAAGTTCCTGCAGTGGATGTCAACTGTTTTTTCTTCTTGGAACGTGCCTTTGTTCTACGTAAGTCCTTACATGTCGTTTATACGTGTATGCAGTGTAGATGCATTCGAATGCATGGTAAGCTTTTTGCTCCACTGAATACATCAGTAGGTTCGCTGCATCGTGAACAGTTTACAGGGCGGAGTATATTCGATTCTGTGTTTCCTTTTCGTCGTGCTGTTTGGTAGTAGTCGTAATACTACTGGTGCAACGGTTACTTCATGATGAACAAATTCATCTTGACTTCACTGATCGAACTATGTTAAACACCAGGGGTTCGTGAAGAAAACGGTCCATGTCAAAGTTAGAACCTTCATTTAAAGTAGCAGGTTTCATCTTTTTTTTAATGATCATTTTTTATTTTTGCAGAGAAAGTGTACTATAGAGAAATTACTTGCTAGCACGTGAGCAAACATGCCGTTTTGCAATCAGTTGAAATTTAGTTTCCATAAAAGGGGTTTGGACAGATTATAAGCGGACGCGATTAACATAACTTCTCATTTATCTGATCTCCAAAGATACGAAGTATTATCACGGTGTGGTCTACCACAGATTGGCGAAGAATTACAGTAAACTGCATTCAAATAGCATCAAAACGAACATAAAACACTGTGCTGATGTAGTAGATTGGTGCAGTCAATTCTCTTTATTTAATTTATAAAATTAAACGAATTCAACACATGCAAAATGAATTTTAAGGTCATGTTCATGAGACTTTTGTCTAGAAAATAGCTTAATGTTCTAATGGTGCTATTAAGAACATTTAGGAGTCCTTTAGTGTGAAATCAAGTACGTCAGCATTCCTCATAATCTTTCCGTTGGTAAAATCCATAAGTTCCTTTTGATAATCTATTACACGTTTACTATACCGAATATTATGTTACTACTTCCAACTATTTCCATGCCGTTTGATCTGATATCCTGTTATTTCATTTCAAGTGTACTTTAATCCGCTCATTTTTGAGTAAATGCCCGTTATGCATACAGAAGGTGTCTTGAGACAGTGGGCGCGGCCATAAGCGGCCCTTTTGGAGTTCATAAAACGACTTTGTTGTTCGGTGTAAAGTATTTCAGCAGAAAGACTTGAAAGCCGAGAGACTGTGCAAGCTATTCTTCTTCCTTTAGCTAATTAAGAATTAAGTTGGCTCAAAAAGCGAAACGTAAGTAAAACCGGTAAAGACCGGATATGACATCACTAAGATAACTTTTGACTCCTAAAGTTTAGTATATAGCGTAATTATAAACAAGTATTCCTGAAATAACTCTGATGCGAGCTTGAACAGTTCTCCGAAAACATCCTCTCTGCTTTACGTTATAACTTAGAAATGCATTTTCATTTCTTGCAGTTGACCCAAACATGGGTATGTCTAATGCACCCAATTGTATCTGACTCTCTTTCGAAATTGTTTGGACTCTGGGTATGAACAGAGACAACATATTGTTCTGATTTTAAGAAGCAACAGCGGTGTTATATTAAAAGCGAAGCGCATAAACAAATTTGTACGTGCTTAGTGGTGCAGGAACCCCGCATCTCTCTTGGCACGGTTTACAGTATTTGTATTTTTTCCTGACTCTTTCTTTGTCAAAAACAACCATCTTTTTTCGTCGAGTCTTCTTTTTGTTGCCCTCCTACAGATGAACTTTAACTATTTAACACAGATTAGAGACGCGGAAATTTATGCATCAAAATAGACACAGTGAAAAACGTGCGCGGTGGACGATCGTGTTTTCGTTGCCAGTCGTATTTCTTCAAACGTGACCCATATTTAGTTTCCATTATTTTTGTCAATACTTCTGGCTTTAATATCTCATTCATTCATTAAATATTAAGCGGATATTAACGCTTAGTGGCTGGTACTTCTAGTTAATAGATCGGCACACGTCAAAGCAAAGTTAGTCGGCAAGGTCACTATAAACCTACCGGTAGTTACCTGCTGATGTCAGACGGTTTCGATTTAGCCTGAAGATACGTGTTATTTTCTTAAGTTAAAAACAGTGTTTTTGGTTTGCTAATGTTATTGCTCCGTGCCTTTTTAATCTTCGTGTATTACGTAATTTGGTGGAAATCCACTGGTCCCGGCTACACAATTGCACAACTATACCGAACACTTCAAAAGTTTTGGCGGCTACTGTGGGCCAAAGATAATACCCCGGCCTAAAACTACAGTTGAATCTCCGCTAACGGCCACTTTTTTTCGTCCGGGCGGACAAAAAATCATTCTTGTTTAAAACCTCTACAATGGCCACTTTCTTTTGTCCGTCCCCAAGGTGGCCGTTGTAGAGCGGTTACAGTCTAATTGTGCTCATGACCGGCTGGGACAGTTTGTTTTAGTCTCAGTACAAGGACCCGATGCAGCAAAACAAACAAACTAACAAACTAATTAACTATAAATAGTAACTAACTAACAAAACCGGCGATAAAAACTGAAATCTACGAAAACAACGTAAAAATATAACTTGTTTTATTCTTGTCTTGAACAAAAAAAGGAAAAAACAGCTCAAATTCATGTGAGTTTTTTTCATCGTACAAAAGGTCGCTTAGCATAACTCTTGTTTAGAGCATAACGCCGTTTGGCACGTGTACTCGCCGTTTTATAAGCTTTTTGTAGTGTCACTTAAAGTGGCAATTTTAAAAAGTAAGTTTGTTACGCAGTTATTCAGGTTATTGTAGTTAAGTACATGTCACTTTTTGCTGACATATGAAGAGAAACTGAGTCTTTTCATATTTGACATATCTTGGTTCTCAAAAATGTCAACGTTAGCAAATTAGTTGCATTGTCTTAAACTTTCTCTGTTGCAATAGTTTTTCAACTACGCGATTGCGAACGTCTTCCGCCACAGTAATCACAAAGTTGTGCTTTTGGTTTATTTTTGAAAGCTTCATTTCATGATTAGAAGCGGAAGATGCGGTTTAAAGTAATATCTGTTGGCTAGCATTCCGTTCGCTATAATTAGGTTAAAATTTTGTTTTTTTGCATTTCATTCCTTGCGCATTTGAAGGTAATGACATCAAGTTTCCCTTTTCTACGCAAGAATATTTTTACGCCAACCTTTATCGCAAAATTACAAATCTGGCTAGTTTAACTGCGGACAAAGAAGAGATTAAAATACCGCATTCCTTGCGAGGTATGAAAATCTCTTCGGCTAAAAATAGCAAATAATTCAATGTGGGAAGAATTAATCGTCGCATTCTTAAATTCCCACTGAAGAGTTGCGTGTTGGGAGCTGTGAACTTTGTAAAGAGGCTACGTAGAGTTAAGTTCTGCTTACTGTCGCGAGCTTAAAATCGGCCTCTGGGGCTATTGTTTTGAAAAGAATCGATATTAAACATTGATAGGCTATTAGCTTGAGTGGAAAATAGCAAAAACAGATTATTTTTCTCACAAGTGGGTATTTCAGTTTTAAGTAAACCGTGTTCATCGGGAGCAATGTTCGCGTGAGTAAAACTGTCTGGCAATCGGCAACAGAGTGGCCTCGATTTGTCACTTTTCCCGCAGTGCAGTGTGGTCCAAAACCCAGCTTGAGTCCGCTAAAACGGCTATTTTAATCTACTCAAAGATTGTACAGCTCTGGAGGCTCGCCTAACATATTTAACAGCCCGCAAAAAAGGAGTGAACCCAACGTAATCCCCTCATCATCGACGTGACAATTGGCTTGCGATGGTGTTTTGACGCTTTTTAAGCCTGCTCTTATTAAATACTTTGGAGATTACTTCATGCCTTGATATCCCGTCGAGATGACATTGGCTGTCGAGGTAGTGCGTGGACTTGACGGGCTAGACAAATATTATTTTGGGTGGGTTTAAAGGTGGCACTGTAACACGAAACGGGCTACTTTCGCTGAAGCTCTCCCGATAAGCAGATGACATAGCATTAACTCCAGAGGTATAAATTGCGCAGTTTTCCTGTTAAGCTCATACCAGTGATACATATGCTTTAGGTCACATCAAGATAATTGCGATCGTTCGACTACCTTTCAACCGGGAGATAAATATCAGTATTTGACATCGTGTAGCCTGCTTGGAATTGAAAGAAAATACTACTTTTGATTGCTTCAAGGTTTACATCCGAGAGCTTCGCGGTGTTTATTGTGACTTCACTCTGACATCCTCAACGAGTCGCGACATCTCTCTCTGCTTCTTAAGCTGAAGACCATGGATCTGGGGAAACAACTCATCTACTTTGTTTTACTGGCCGAAGTCTGTGCATTTTTGCCGATTGCAGAGTCAAGAAGTGTTAGAAATGTGAAGGTGAGTTAATTGAACTTTACAATTGTTATTTTGCCAAACTTGGCATAAGGAGCTGTGATTGTACACACGGTACAAGTACCTTGACAAAGTTTGTCACGAAGTTTTTTCCATCTTTCCTATATTAATGGAGTGAAAGGAAATCAACTAATTTTTTTACCCTGTTTGACCTCGTCCTTTCTCGCAGAAAGAGAATAACTGTAAAAGGATATTAATGTAAGCGCTGGTCCTACGCAATTCAATGGGCAAATGAGCAACAAGCTCAGATTTAACCCCAAACGATAATGAAGAGCAAACGTTTCAGTTCCATGAAATGAAACTATTAGCCCTATTACACCAAAAAGACATGCAAATTTCGCGATTTCGTCTACCATCATTAATGAAAAAGGCAAGCAAAAAACTCAGTTGAACTCTAGTAAATTCCTGGGGGGCCGACAAAAGACGAAACAAAATGGTAACTAGGCGTAGAACAGTATTATCCGGATGAACGAGGATTACTTCCAAATATCTTTCTCGGCTTCCTTTACGAAGACGTCTGGCGAAGTTTTGTGAAAACCTTTGTAAAGCGAACGAAGTTGTCCGAGGAGTTTCGGACAGTGACTCCGGCTGTCCAAATAAACCGGAAGACTTGTGTTACATGGACAATTTTCTTATTTGAACCGTCTCTCGTTGAAAGTATATTCTTTTAAATTTTCCGTGAAATTTTAACTTTGAAAAAGAGAAAAAAGAAGAAACGTTTTCAGTTTTGCTGGGATTAAATTTAACTTAACCACATATAACACCGAGCTGTTGTTGTTGTTGTTTTTTTTTGTGTGGAAGGGGATGTATTTCTTAGCTTACATTATAGCAACTGGGAGCGCTTTCTTGTGGAATTCTTCTTCACTCATTCGAGTCTTCGGTTCTCTCGCCTTTCGATGTCCCAGTATTCTAAACTGAAGTCAAATGACGCTCGTCCAAGAAGACGTGCTAAGTGGTAACATGTTCTTGCGGTTGCTTTCTACAAGCATTTAAAACAACGATTGAAATTTAATTCCTTGTCAAATTCCCCGATAGAAGAATTAAATATTGATCGATAGGAAGTTCTGTTTTTAGCAGTAAGAACTCGCTCGTGCCATAAAGATGCAGCTCTTGCGATAACATTGCTGTAAGCACTCGTACATGATTGCAACGTGAAACGTAACTGATCAAATTTACAGTGGTTGCTTTTGACGAAATTGAAATTCGGGTATCGACGAAAGACATGAAGTTCTGCTCCCGGCTATTTAAAACCCGACAAGTCAACACTTCATTTAGCTATTGATATGACTAGTTAGGGATTTCAAGATGTTATCTAGTTGCCATCGCGTGCGAAGTTGAGACATTAGCGAGAGGAAATCAGATTAGAGACAAACTGAAAGTCGTTCCAAGTGTTTTTCAAGTAACTTTTGTCGAGTTGCAAAATGGAGGATGAACGACAGAGATTGTTTCATGAGTACCGTGATAGTCTCTTACACAAATGAATGATACTCTCTGCACGACGTTTGCGAATATTTTTCGCGGGAAATCCGCGGGAATTTCGAACAGTTCAACTGGATGAATCACCCCATCCCTCTGGCTCTCTGAAACATCTGTTTTTCTTTTAAAGAAAGATTCTAGATTTTTCTACCTTGTTATACCAAATAGGTGACCTACTTACAGCTGTGATTGGAAAGGAAAACTAATAGTAAATAATAAACTGCTTTTTGTAGCAAAGAAAAAAAATACATCCTTCACGGAAATTTCTAATAGAGACCATATGCAAAAGTCGATAGCAATTAAACTAAATGTTTCATATCATTTCAAGATTACTCCAAGAAATCTAATTACTTTAAAGAAAATCTTAAGCTCATCAAGTTGTTCAGTGAAGACCAAGGCCGCTGGCATGCTTGCTAAACGCTTACAGATGTTCTAGATATTCGTGTCAGCCTCACCAGGGCCAACATCAAACATGAGGAATGCTAAGGTGATATATATATCCTTGAGTTTGTTTAAGGAGTGCTTTCTTAGTATCCTTCTTTCCGTCTTCGTTCCTGACACCTGGTTCCAGGTATTCAGGCGATGGATGAAGTCCTTCAAGTTGCTAATATTAATTGTAAATGTGTGCGCGGGTTATCTGATCGCTTCGCCTTAGTTTTAAGAGTTCCTCATTGTCACCAAGTCGTGTCAAAAGATGCCAGTTTAAACAAAAACTTTCAGTTTTGCGTTTTTACACGAGGACTTATTGCCCTCAATGTCGGTTCCAAAAGAATCAGATCTAAAAAGGAAATATAGAAGAAACTTTGCTTCTAAATAATGTGAACTTTCCGAAAGAAATAGAAATCTTGCCTCGCAACTATCTCAGCCTGCTTTCTCCCTTTCGCTCGGCTACATGGCACCTTTCGTTAAGCAGGCCACAAAGAGCTTTTTAGTGAAACCTCAGTTTTTTTCCAACTGAAAAATACGATTTGGAACTAACTTAGATAAGTCAAAGTGTGTGGTTTTGAAAGGTTGGCAATTTTCTTTATCTCTTACTAAAGAAACGAAATTGGCAAATATAACGACAATGTGGCTGGTCGATGAAAAAGACACTTGTTTTTGGACGACAATAATACGCCTCAACATTCATTTGCATTTTGGCTGTTATTTGTATGGTCTTTTTCTAAGATAGCTCAAGTTTATGAACCGGATACGTTTTAAGAGCTTTCCGGTTTTAATATTCAATCCCCTGATTTTCCATTACCGATGAAAAAATACGAGCTCTGAAAAAACACACATGGTTAGAAAAGTCAACAATATGCATGGCGGAAAATAGCCTTGAAATACCGACATTGGCGACTTGCCATGCAGTCTGTTTTAGTACGTATTTTACCATTGTTCAGAAACAGATGGTATGACAACATATTACGTCATAAATTGGAAGGTCTCTATCATAACCCGGCGAAAAAAGTTCTAGAACTTCTCTATACGTACATGTCCATTTAAGTCCGGTCTGATGCCCTGAGCACTCTTCAGCACTTGAAGAATTCTCGAGATTTTCATAGTAATTATAGGGAAAACATTTGGCTTATTTTTCGCAAATGTTGTTTCCTTGATTCATTACCCGATCACCGTAGTTGAAGAAGCCAGAAGCCGGGATCGGGAGAAGTGCCATCCTCCCTTCCCCCTCCCCTCTCCTTGTTTGGCTCCTTGACAGATGCTACATGACTCACTGTGCCAGTACCCAAGCACGCAAGGGTGGAGAGAATGAACGTTATATCAACATTGAGTTTTGACGCAAGCGCCATAAGCGTGTTATACCTAAAGAGCATTGATTACCTTAACATACCGTCGGGTTCCTTGGGATAATTACCCGGGTGGGGGGAGGGGGGTATTGAGGAGAAAGAAGACTTTAGCAAGAATACCAAACCCTTCCACCTGTTTACATAACAAAGACCTCCATAATCACCATCATCCCGCGTTCGTGCAGATTTTTGAAAAGAAGAGAGCCTCTCGGCAAGTGCTGAACACGCCTTTGTTACTCGCTATTGGTCAATTCGGTTTTCAAATAAGGAATCCTAGCCTGCGTAGCAAGCGTTTCTGTGCAGTTTTGGGAGCAAAGAACGGCGAACGAGAGTCAAAGACCAAGCGAAAAATGGATCTCGTTCCATTTTTTGCGCAGCCAAAACGAAAATCTCGTTCCTCTTCGGTTTTTTATCTTCTTTGCCCCGAAACCACATGGAAAACCGGCTACGCAGGCTAAAGGAATGCGGATTCTAGGTACTGGATTCCCGATCTTGTCAGTGGAACGTTGGATTCCGGACTCCTACAGCTGTATTCCTCATTCCAAAGCCCAGGATTCTGGAGTCCACAAGCAAAAATTTCCCAGATTCCGGAATCCATATTCCCTTAAATGGGGTGAGCCTTCGTTTCCTTTGTTGCGCGTTGTCTTTGCTTCATCTGCCTATTGACGTATATTTTTAACTTGTTTTAGCGCCATTTAATCAAAAAGAGGTCGCTCTACGAAGAGACCTGCCCACCACCATATGTCATTGAAGTGACAGAGAAGTGTAAAGATTCTTGCTTGGACGATGACTACTGCATCGGAAATCAAATGTGTTGCTTTGATGGCTGTTCGTATGTCTGCATGGATCCTGTTCCCTCGGAACCAGGTAATGTCAAAAATTTAAGACAAAGGCCTTACCTTAAAGTTTAAAACAAAGTTTACAGCGAGTTTAAGCTTCACGTATACGACAAACGGCAAACGTCAGATTCAAGTTGAGAATTTCTCAAAATAGAAAATGAGCAGATAAAAACAGCCCCAAAACTATTCTTATGGATAAAAAATTGCTTGAAACTATTATTTTATGTGTAGAAATAATGAACAGTAAACGACAAGTATTGGGGAAACTTGGTCACGTGGTACAAATTCGCGTTTGCCGTTTGACGTGAAAGTCATGCTTACAGTCAAGCCAAGTCAAGCGTACCCCCCAAGATTACATTATTCGAAAGTTGAATCTGTTGGTAGTTGTAGATTTCAGATTCATCTCTGCATTCTTGCATGCGTAATGAGCCGTAAATTCACACGCGAGGCAGTTACGAAATTCCTACCAGCTCAGTATCCCTGAATTTGATGTAAATGTCTTCTATGAAATTTAACTCATTCAAAGATTTTCAATCTGACTAAATACAGAGAAGTTCTCGTAAAATATTCACTACTCATTACGAATGCAGGAATGCCGATTTGAATTTGACACTAGTTACCGGAACGACTAATGGATTCGTTTTTCAAATAATCAATTCATAAATAGAATCTTGAGGGGTACGCTTGACCTGCCTTGACTCTAAACTCTTCTCATTCTTTCTTCTATAGCGCTTAACCCTTTAAGTGCCAATAGTGACCAACAACAATTTTCTCCTAACAATATCCATACATTGTCAAGAGATAAAGTTATGAGAATTAATAAAATGATCACCACAGAGAAAATGCTTTGATCTTTTATCAAATTCTCTCAACTAATTGTTAAAGGAGATGTATAGAGATCAGTTTGGAGAATTTGTATGTGGATATTGGGGCTTAAAGGGTAAAGGTAACGCGCAGCAGTGATCACTTGTCTTATGTCTGTCTTATTATCTTTTGCAGTTATTGATTGGATCGATGACAAGGAAGGCAGTACCCCAGGGCCCGAAGGTTCGTTATACCTACACTTGACAGAAAACTTTTGCTTGATGCTGATGTATTCTGTTTCTTTTGCGTAACTGTCTTTCGCTTATTTCAATTCTCAATTCCTTTTTTAAATATTTCTCCTCTGCAGAACTCACTGGCAACATAGAGGTTGTAACTCCCGTCATCGAAGAACTAGGTAAGTTTGAAGGCTGAAAAATGTGGACAANTAACTGTCTTTCGCTTATTTCAATTCTCAATTCCTTTTTTAAATATTTCTCCTCTGCAGAACTCACTGGCAACATAGAGGTTGTAACTCCCGTCATCGAAGAACTAGGTAAGTTTGAAGGCTGAAAAATGTGGACAACATATCTAATTTATTGACCTCGAATGTTCTGATATTATACCATATGGTTAAATATTTAACAACTAATCCACAAGTGTGCGTTCGGTATGAGCTGGTAGATAGCCAACGAGGCGCGTTTTATAATCATCTCATATCCAACAAGTACGAGTGGAATAATTGTTTTTATTAAAAACGCCCACAAAATATCCAGAATTCTTCCCGACTTTATTTGTAAAAACAACCGATTTTCAGCCTGTTTTTTATTTTGAGCAGACGCGTACAGTTACCATATTTGGAGAGCATGGTATAATGGCTCATATGCCATGATGGCTAAGCCAATCGGAGCTCTAGAATTACATTATCCAATGATTCAGTTTTTAATGAATGTCACTTATTTTTGAAGGGTGCTTTTATCATGGAATGATGTTAAACGATGGAGAAAGAATTCCACTTGGCTGCAAAGTATGGTGAGTGATGTATATCATTTGTTAACTCATCTAGCCTGCGTAGCAGGCGCTTGGAATAAAGAACGGGCGCGCGCGCGCGAGGAGACACGCGTGTTTCCCTCTCGCGTGCCCGTTCTTTCTTGCGTCCACTACTTCCAAGCGCCTGCTACGCTAGCTATGACTCATCAGGTATTAGGGAACAGGGCCCGGTTCCTAAAAGGCCGATAGGCACCAATCCGAAATTACAACGGTTCCGTTTTTTTAATTTTACCTTGCTTTGTATTGCTCAGAGCAACATTTTGTGTTATCATTACCGTATGTTGGAGTGAAGGCCCAACAGTATTTTGTAAGCTTGAGTTGCATGTTTATAGGGAAGAAACCCTTAATTAAAATTTAGCATTATCCTGGGTTAAACTTAACCATCTTTCGAGGAACCGGGCCCAGCTTTGTAACACAACGCTGATCCTATCACCCATACTATAGCCGTCATCCCTCTGAACATTATTATTATTTTTTCTCCATAGCTCTTGCTTTAACGGAAACCTAATGTGTGATGTCTCCAACTGCAACAAAGGTAATCATTTTACACTGTGGTCGCTTGCAAATTTGGTGAAATCTGGAATCTGCGAAATGTTTGCTTGTGGAATCCGGATTCCTAGGCTTTGGAATCCGCAATACAGCTCAAGGAATCCGGAATCCCACTAACGAATTGAGTCAAGAATCTAAGTTCGACTAACAAAAAATCCAAAATCCACATGGAATCTAAGACTGCCATGAAGTCCCGTACATTGAACGAGTAAGACTTGACGCTTTATACCTTAGATTATCCCACGGTGGCTAATTTTTAAGTTCACGATTACCCTTGTCCCATAATTTTTTTCTTTCTTCTCAAACAAACTCGAGCGAGACGAAACGAAAGAACACCTTGCGATCGTTGTCTTCATTTTTGTCTTCCACTTTGAGGATCTTTGTCACTGCCTAGCAGCTAAAGTTTGTTTGGGAGTGAATAAAGTAAGTCTCTGGAAACAGCGTAGTTCAAGGTAATTACGTCTGAATTTGGCTTTTGAACTTTTTTCTCGCCCCATGTAAGGGGGTCCAAGAAAGTCTTGGATTTTGGATTCCACACCAAAGATTCTGGATTCCAGGTACTTGATTCTGGTCTTTGCCAGTGGAAATGTATTCCTCATTTGGATTCCGTATTCCTTGCGCTTTATTCCTGATTCCAAAGTACAAGATTCGGGATTCCACTTGCAAAAACTTCCGGATTCCGGAATCCGAATTCCTGAAATGGGGCGACTCTTTTAAAACAAAAACGTTTATTAAACATGTTTATCGTCTTTGAAATTTGCAGAGTACCAGGCCCGTCTCGCTTTAGAGCTAAGCGGCTCGGGGTCTGGTGACGATGAGGACGGTGATGTTAAGGAAAACTTAAGAGAAGCATCTGGGAATGGAGAAGTGTATCCGATTACCGGCGGGCTTAGACACAAAGAGGACTTTACTTCTTTGGAAGAATTCAGAGGGAAGAACACAAATGGTGTGGAAATGAAAGAGGAATTTGTTCCTTTCGGGAAGGAGCACGGCTCGGAGGAGGATAGCGGAGGCGGGGAAAGCGGAAGCGGAAGTGGAGATCATTTCGTCCCATATGACGAGGAAAAGAACAATGGAAAAAGTGGCGATAATGTCGCTTCTTTCGCCAGAAGAAGGCTTTAGTAACCTGGTTACGCTCTCGTAGCGAGTGTCACTCAAAGATGGGAATCTTCCCTCCTAGCAAATCACACTCCGCCGTTTAGGTTGGACTCAAGTAAATGACATATCGAGGCATCGCACTCATCAGTGGAATACCATTTAGCAAGAGTGACATGAAATATGACGGCATAAATGACTTCCCGTAGACAGAGATATAATATAACCTTAATTGAAATAGGTAATTAAACATTACGTTTATGCCAGATAATTAACTGGCCAAACTGCCATGAAAATTGTCAAGATCTCATAAATCATTCTCACGTCACAAACAGGAGATAAAGTGTATGTTAGTGACCTAGAGGAACTTCAGTAAAGGATGAACGCCGGTGAGAATGACAGGATGTTCCGTTGAAATAAGTAAACAACAAAGTCAGACCTAATGGACTGCTCACAGTCTCTCTTTTTGATTTTCTCGTAAGGCCCGTCTAGTAAGTTAACTCCATAAACACGTTAGAAATTAGGATGATGGAAAAGTGAAAAGACAGGCTATGTGTGTTTTGCGCGCCACTTGTTGCTTTTCTCCCAGTTTTTCACTTCCGTGTATGATAAGCTGTAAAATAGTTTTAGTAGTGTATACGAAAGTACAGAATATACGGAATATTTCGTACTAGAACATTTGGTTTATACCTTGTAGCTATGAAAACATGTGTAGCTTTCGTCAGTACCATTTTCACATGTACCGACTTTATCACCCTTACATATATACATGTGCGACCACATCCCATAAGCGACAACTTATCTAAAACACCAACATTTTCCCAGTCGAAGCCCTACAGTTGAAACCTCTCGTAAACGTCTACCTCCTGAAAGCGAAGGCGACCACTTTTCGGCACTGACGGTTTAATTATTTTCTATCGTTTTTAACTCCTTGTAAGCGAACACTTCACGCATGATCTGGTCTAGCTCTATGTTTCCTCCATGCACTGTGTTACTTAGAGAACACGCGAGAACACGAAGATTTTTAACAACAACATGGAACTATACTTATTTAAACTTAAAAATTGCATGGAATGAATTATCTTATATAAAGTTGATGTGACCAGATCTCTTCTTGGTAGAGAGCCCCTGTGGTCCGATTCTTCTTAGACCACCTCCCGTAAACGAACAGTTAGTCATCGCATTTTGGGTGATCGCTTAAGGGAGGTTCAACTGTATTCAATTTAGTAATTCCACACTCATATACAGATCGTATCATAGTACCCGCGAAGGGGTAAAATAAGATAAGTTGAAACGGAACGAATAAACAAAGTTTGTATACGTGGTATGTTTGTCAACACGTTACACACTCAATTCAATTCAATTCAATTTCATTATTCACGCTTTATAAAATATTTACATTATATATAGTAAGGTAGGAATACACTAATAAAGGAGAAGAAGAAGGAAAAAAAAAGAAAATTAATGGCTGGGGTAGAAGTGTTCGGTGGCCAGAGGAGCTTAGCTTTCGAGCTAACCACCGCACCACTACTTTCGATATTTTAAATGTCATCCTTGCTCTATGCCAAATGTGGCCAAAGGCAAATTTCGACCAAATATCCAAATTTCATTTTCTAAAATTTTGACAAACAAATAGCATCATGTGAAAGAACAGGCAGAGAGCTTTCATTTGAATGGTCATATCATAGGATTTCGTCCACAGACTCAAAAGTTAGAGTCACCTTACAAAACTCCATCAAGCACTCTGGCAGTGAAAGGGTTAAGCAACCACGACAAAGAAGGCACCGCGAACGTNATGTCATCCTTGCTCTATGCCAAATGTGGCCAAAGGCAAATTTCGACCAAATATCCAAATTTCATTTTCTAAAATTTTGACAAACAAATAGCATCATGTGAAAGAACAGGCAGAGAGCTTTCATTTGAATGGTCATATCATAGGATTTCGTCCACAGACTCAAAAGTTAGAGTCACCTTACAAAACTCCATCAAGCACTCTGGCAGTGAAAGGGTTAAGCAACCACGACAAAGAAGGCACCGCGAACGTAAGAAAAACCAAAAACAGAGCAAAGCAAAACAAACAAAAAAAAAAAGACGAAGAAAAAAATCAATATACCTTTTCAGCTTATATGTTTTGTTTTCCCATTTCAGTTAGCGTGATGATACCCTAGTGAACTGTTTCTTTCAACTGTAGTCTTATGCACGTGCATATATATGCATAATCAACGAAAAGACAAAAGGCAAATTTCCTGGAGAACATCAGGTGGTCTGAATTGGGAAAATAAAACATACGAGCTGAAAAAGGTCTATTGGGTTAATAAGCAAAACAAGATGTTCTGAAATAGAACCTTAGCCCCAATTCCCCGAATTCCATTATATGAGCCCTTAGTTTCACATTCTACTGAGTATTTTTTCAACCAAACATTCAATTTCATCGTCATCTCACGTCATTCTTTAAACTAAAAAGACAAAGTAGTTACATCATAATGTGGGTGGCGGCACACTGTTTTGATTTGGGCATAGCCTGTGTACAGACGTCCCCCCTCCCACAGGATAAACTTCCTGAGGGAGGGGTGATGTCTGTACACAGGCTAATTTGGGCAGGGTTTCAACTGATTGTGAAAAACCCAGGAACCAACAAGTTACAGTCGATCCAACATTCTGTCATCATCATCATCATCACCACCAAGAATAAATGATTCATCATCATCATCATCGTCATCATTATTGTATTGCAGATCAGAAAATCTGGGCCAATCGTCTTTCTTCTTGGGTCTTCCCTGGAGGTCCTAAAACAGTCGAAGTGTGTTAATCAGATGTACTTACATATGCCAATCTAACAGCACACGAAATTTAAGGATAGACCTCTTTAGCTTGTATGTTTTGGTTGCCCAATGTGGGTCATGTGATTATACTTTAAACCGACTATTTCAAGCCAGGACCATTTGAAAAAAAAAAAAATGAAAAAAAACTAAGAGAAGCCCTCCATCCCCGGCTTCTATCTTAACGGCGTAACATTCTTAGTTTTGAAAACTCTTATCGACAAACAAATACATTGTTTATAGGGCACAAAATTTTTAAGCGTGCAAGACAAACGTTTAATATTTGGAATGAATGCTAAGAACTCGTGGCATAACACTGCTGAAAAGGAAGACATATTTTAAGAATTAATCCCACTGTAAGGAAAGTTAATTCTGATTAATTATCATTGTAACACTCTGGCCAAAATCTCGACCCTGCAACCTGCTTAAGTGGAATGTAGTGTAATATCACCACTTCCTTCGAAATGTCGATAACCGATAATGCACAAGAATTCGTGCAACCAATTTTTTTTAGCGACAGTTGTCATAACCCAACGGATATCACCTTCATTTCTAGATATCACGGGTCAGTTAAGAATTCATGAATTCAGATCTAATCGCGCCATATTCAGGTGTGCTATATATAATCAGTTGATACACCTCGCAAACACTTCCATGCCAACCGATGCAGACATCTGGAGTCAGGAAACGGGAGGGCGACAAAACATATTCATCAAGGAAGAATTTCAATAACTTGGTAACAACGCCCTATATAATACCCCCTTCCTTACCATTTAATGGTGATATTTGTTTTCTTTAACCTTGTATGGGGCTGTGCAGCAATAGCTTACGCAACAGTTGCACAGGAGAGCGAGATCAGCGATGCACAACCGAGAACACGCAAAAGGATAGAGGTAGCGCCGCCGCTCTAACTTTTATCCCCAAATTTTTCATGCACCTGCTACGCAAGATACTACCGCAAGTAACTTAAGATACCCTCGTAAAAAGGAAAAACATACGTGATAAGAGGTTATATATATTCCACGTTGTGCGTCCGATATAGCATCAACTTCTTCGTGCGACATTTTGACATCTTTGAGGTCCACTTGTAGTAGTTCTTCAAGGTAATGAAGACTTCGCACGAGATCACCGACCCCTTTTCCGATTGGATTAAATCCTAGTTGAATGGTTTGTAGTCTTGGCACTGATCTTAGCTCTTGAGCCAAGGCTTTAGCTTCTTTTTTACCTGTTCTTGTTTTTTCTACGCTTAGATGTTGCAGATCAGGTATGCGATACAGTTGTCGAGCAAGGTCAGTGATTCCTTTACCAAGTGGATTGTTGGACAAATTGAGAACTGTTAGCCGAGGAACATGCTTCAATGAAGACGCTAAACGTGAACATTCTCGATCATCCATACGGACTCGAGACAAAGTTAAATACGTCAATAGTGGAACATGGCGAAGACTTGCAGCCAAAATTCTTACACTACCGTGCAAAGGACAGCGGGACACTTTCAACGAGTACATGTTGGGCGCTTGACGAATTGAACTGGCTAAGAGAGCAACATCGCCGTCTGACATTTCAAGATCGTACAGAACTAATCTACCAAGGTTTTCGGTGAAGTTGATGTGGGATACAACATCATTTTCCACTCGTATGTGCTTTATAATGACGTCTTGCGGAGAAACTGCAACAGACAACATGTCGTTTATGTACGATAACTCTTCACTTGTCCACATAACGAAAACCTCAATTTCTCTGACTAATGAAAAACAGTGACCTTCAGGAAGCTCAGCAAGGTTCCGCGTTCCTCTCGGAATAGACTCATACAATGCCGATGTAAGGTCCCTCAGCATTTCTAAATAGTTGCGACGAAAAGTCCTGTATATTGTAGTGAAGTAAAGAAAGAGCCTGTCCCCTTTACGTTTTAGAAAGAAGTGTTCCGTCTGAAAGGCCGAGACTTCACACATTTGAAGATAATGACAGGCTTTGATTTTAAGGGCAGAACAGGTAAGAACTACAGCGTCTACATCTTGAGATATGGAAACAAGGTTAGCAAAGTCGCCATGCTCGAAAAACACATAGTTCGGTAAAGGAGAAGATTGCAGTAGATGCTGCGAGGCAACGTTTTCGATGTTATAGTTATTCACTGATATAACACCATCTGTGGCAGAGAGAAACAAAGGATAGATGTCTCGCCTGGATGACACCGAACAACTGATTAAACACTCCAAACTTAAATCCCGCAACAATCTTTGGTGCAGTGACAGATCGTCCAAAGAAGGCGTCTTAGAAAACTGGCACTCTGTCAGACATTCCTTTTCTCCAAGAGACCTAAGAAGGTTGAAGACTGCTTTTGCTCCTTCCGTGGACCACTGGCACAGAAATCGAAGTATTTCCTTCATCTCTAAGGCCTTGCTAAATGAATTGATTCCTGCGACAGTAGTGGGAATCTTGCTTTCTTTTACATTCAGCGTGTTCATCAAATACCTTGCCGCCAGAAACTCCTGGATTGATTTGTGAAGAAATACTATGGTCTTGGTAGTATCTGGACTTGATATTTTCGACAATTGAAAGAGACCTGAGCGGATCATTTTGTCGGCGAGGCCATCACTTTGAAGTTTAAGGTTTTCAAGATCAACATATACGGAGTTTTTCAAAAGAGCTTCAAACGCCAACTTTCCTAGGACGGTAATCTCTTCACTGAAAGCATGCAAGACGTTTTGGTTATTCAACGGCGGGCTGTCGGGATTCTTCAAGCTCATGTGACAAAGCAAAGTCTCGACAAATCTATCATGCAGTTCCAACTTGGATGTTGGCAGTTTTTTGACATACCTGTTCTTCCAAATCAAGCAAAGCATCAAAAGAAGAAGAGGAATCTCCGCTAAGTCCCAGAGGTTCTCATCGTTAAGGTAACAGACAAATAATTCCAGCTCCCTTTCGCTGTCGAGAAACCTCCCAGCAAAATCGTTCACTTGTTCCTTGTGGACAAACCCTTTGATCTCATACAGCACATTGCTTGGGATAATAAGTTCGTCGCCCTCCAGTGACCTGGTCGTTATTAACACGTGACAATCTCTTAGCTGTCTCCCTCGCCAAATCTCACGAATCAATGTCGCATTCGCACTGTACTCGTCGTAGCCATCTAATACAAGTAACACCCTTTCTTGGTGGCCGCGAACGTAATCATAAACGCTCTCAGCTGAAATCGATCCATCAACGGCAAAAAGGTCAGAAGCTTTTAATAAAGAAGGCATGTCTTGGGCATCCAACGCATTTCGCAACCTTACCACAAGTAAAACATCGAACCGTTTCAAGACTTCTTCCTTTTCGTTCGCCCAGTCGACGGCAATTTTCTGAGAAAAGGTCGATTTTCCGATACCAGTCCTTCCGTAGACAAGTATCCTTTTAGGGCTGGTAGAACGTCCATAACCTTTGAATACCTCGGTATAGTCGTTAATTTCCTGATTGGTTGTTCCGTTGGGTCTCTTTACATGTCTCCACCAGGATAATTTGGTGTAAACTTCTTCGATGTTCACAATGCTATCTTTCTCCCAAGGGGTGATTCTAACCTGGCTCATGGTAGTGTTATAGTGGGAGCGCAGCTGCCTTTGACACTCTTGAACGAAGATTGGATCTGTATGCAAGTNTCGAGAAACCTCCCAGCAAAATCGTTCACTTGTTCCTTGTGGACAAACCCTTTGATCTCATACAGCACATTGCTTGGGATAATAAGTTCGTCGCCCTCCAGTGACCTGGTCGTTATTAACACGTGACAATCTCTTAGCTGTCTCCCTCGCCAAATCTCACGAATCAATGTCGCATTCGCACTGTACTCGTCGTAGCCATCTAATACAAGTAACACCCTTTCTTGGTGGCCGCGAACGTAATCATAAACGCTCTCAGCTGAAATCGATCCATCAACGGCAAAAAGGTCAGAAGCTTTTAATAAAGAAGGCATGTCTTGGGCATCCAACGCATTTCGCAACCTTACCACAAGTAAAACATCGAACCGTTTCAAGACTTCTTCCTTTTCGTTCGCCCAGTCGACGGCAATTTTCTGAGAAAAGGTCGATTTTCCGATACCAGTCCTTCCGTAGACAAGTATCCTTTTAGGGCTGGTAGAACGTCCATAACCTTTGAATACCTCGGTATAGTCGTTAATTTCCTGATTGGTTGTTCCGTTGGGTCTCTTTACATGTCTCCACCAGGATAATTTGGTGTAAACTTCTTCGATGTTCACAATGCTATCTTTCTCCCAAGGGGTGATTCTAACCTGGCTCATGGTAGTGTTATAGTGGGAGCGCAGCTGCCTTTGACACTCTTGAACGAAGATTGGATCTGTATGCAAGTAAAATGGGTCATTGAAATGAATTATTTTGCCCTTAAATATTCCTTGGTGAGCTAACATAGATACAAACCTTTCTGCAATCTGATTGGTGGGATGCTTTACAGTTGATTCCAAACGTTGTGCAAAATCGCAACACTGAGTGCAGAAAGTTGACAAGTACGCAAGGCCAATCAAATTTGCTGTTTTCAGATACGACTGTTATCGAGCTAAGAATGAGTCGGCTAAATGAGTCACAAACACTTCTTATCAGCTTGCAATGCAGTAAACGTTATCAATACTCATAATATCGCTTTGTAGTTAGATTTAACGATACTCTCTCACCCCATGTAACGTAATCAGGATTACAAAATCCTGGAAATTTTTGTTTGCGGAATCCGCAATCCTGGGCTTTGGAATGCGGAATTCAGCTTCAGGAATCTGGAATCCTGCTAATGATTGGAATCCGGAACCCAAGTTCCGCTGGCAAGAAGGAATTTGAAATTTAGTACCTGAAATCCGTAATCCACAGCGTGGAATCTAGGGGTCCGTTCCTTTGATATGATCCGGATCAGGATCAGTGATCCGAGATCATTTGGATCATGGTAGATCAAATGATCCGATGAATCCTTGTCCAGAGTGGATTCATCGGTTCATTTGATCTACCATGTTCCGAGTGATCTCGGATCACTGACCCTGATCCAGATCATCCCAAAGGAACGCACCCTAGAATCCAAGACTCTCTTGGATTACCTTTTGATTTGATTCTTTGTCTCTGATGAGGTGTACCTCAGGACCTGACATTAATTGTACATTGCCAATCTGAAACATAAGTCTAATGTAGAGTGTATTAATGGCGTCATAGTTTGGTCATAACTTACCGTTTTCGCTCAGCGTCGACTTTTCTGTCGGCTGCGGCAACGCCGCCTTCAGTTCATCCAGCTTCTCCACCATCTCACTGAGCGCATCTTTGATATGTTCATCCACTTTCCATTGTTTCAGAAGGTTTTTGTAGTGTTCCTCAATGACAGGGTCCATACCCGCATTTTCGAGAAGGTCGATTGCAGGTCCATATGTCGCCCCTCCCAGTCTTACCAAAGTAGCCTTAATGTCCGTCCAACAGCTTGCAAAGGTGGCATCATCAACTGAGGCTTGACTGGCATGACCATACACTGTATTTCTGTACCACTTTATACGAGCAATATCAGCTTCGGGCGTTAAATCTGTAGCAGGCGGAAGATTGTCCCACCCTGAAGCTGGAGTGGTTAAACCACAGATGTTTCTCAACAGAACCATTAGCAGGGTGATGTCAAAGTCCCTTGATGAAACTGAAACTGTGCTGACGGGCGGATACAGTTTGTCCCATTGCGAAGGATTCAAAACTCTTCTCGCCTTAAGCTTCCTCAGGGCTGTTTGTACTGCAGGACTCGACAAATAACTGTTTAGGGTAGCTGGCGGACAAATACTGTCAAATTTCTGTCTTAGGACTTGTGACCCAACATCTACCAGAAGACGACACAGCCTTGCGTAGTTAGTGGTTTCCTTTGTAGAACGAAATACTGGTACTGAAGATGCCATGGGCAGATGACAGTCTCCCCTAGAAAATTTGAAAATAGGTGTTTAGTTTCGTGAGCCTTGCCCTGCGATTTTTTATGGAAATGTTCCCTTTTAGTAATGTTCATTCCCCTTCGTATTTTAAAGTTTTTTGAGTCTCCGCAGTTGATGTCCTACGTTACCACAAGCATTTGTATTATCAGAAAACAGGTAAATTTTGTTTAGCCCTATGCAGACCGGGCTTTTGTTTGCTTCCTGCGATTGAGGAAGTTCAGAGTCCCTCTATAATACGGCCATCAAGATCTGACAGAAAATCCTCCCCATCTCCAACATCGAGGCATAACTTGATTTACAAACTGACGTAATTTCACGTCATTATTAGGACACAGTTTTGAATTCATTAGCAAAATCCAAAACTCCCTCAAAGGAGCCATAAAACGAAAAATAGTTTATAAACAGTGAGGTGTCTGATAACATCAATATAGTGAAATCGTCAGTTGTTAGGAACCTTGGCTCGTACATTGATGACAAGCTGTCAATGAACTTCCACATCAACAAAGTCTGTAGTGCATCATTTTACTATCTCCACAACATTAGGCGGATAAGAAAACACCTATCGCGTGACTCCTCAAAGACTTCGATTCACGCGTTTGTCTCCAGCCAATTACATTACTGATACAGTTTATTCTATGGATTGCCACAGGTACAAATTGATAAATTTTGGGGGCCGATTTTGGAAAATCCAGAGGGAAGGGGGGGTCATACGGCAAATCCCTTCCGTGGGGGGGGGTATGGATATTTTCTGGAACCACACATTAAAAAATAATGTTAAATACAGAAAAATATAATAATTCAAAAAGGACACAAAATCCTCTTAATATAAAAAATGAAGGTTTTTAAAAAATATGGCTGTCAAATCTTGGTTGCCAATTGACAAAGTAAATGATGACGTACACGTGACGACGACTTTAAAATGTCGCCGCAATATTTTAGAGAAAGCCGCTTTTAGAAAAAGTCGTTTTGAAGTTATTCACCTCTAACGCTTCTGAGGACTTCAAAAGCTCCCCTGGTCTGCATAGGGTTAAAAATGAGCAGATACACTGCGTTATGTGGTATATTGACACTGAACCGTCTGAGTGACTTTCGTCACGCTAGCATCGAATTATTTGAGTGTCACGTTAACCATTTTGCTCTATGAGTGGATGCTGTGCATGGGCGAACCAGAAGACGTTACGTGACTTGACGTTCTTTTAGTGCATTTTATTTCACATTTTTAGTGTTATTCGGCACTTTTATTGACGCCTGAGCTCGCGATTTTAAAGGAATGCTTATCATGTCGATTGGTTTTTCATGCCAAAGAGAGTACTTTTCTTGCAAAACATAATCGTGACTAATTAAACTCCTATTACACTTGTCACTTCCTGTTTCACTTCCTCTTTGCTGTCTTCGAAGGCTTGAAGCTTCTCATGTTATGTTGTACGTACAGAATTAATATTCCATACTTCAAATGTACAATTGTCTCTTTAAGGTTTGTGCTTGTTTCAAGCCAAAAAAATACTACCGAACTTGACCCTATACGTAAAATTAGATCAGTATCCTACATAAGAATAGATTTAAACCGAAAGCAAATCCTAGGGGGCCGGAAGAGATGAAAGGAGACACTGTGCTGCTCGACGGTTTTTATTATTACTGATACAACTTATAACATCACTAAAATACGGTAAAAATGGTCAAAGGAATTTTAAAGAAGAAGGCTATCTACGTAATCGTTAACATTGCGAAATAGCTGTAAAAATAATGGTTGGTATAAACAAGGCAGATGAGGAACGAGGTGGAATTTAAGACCTGTATCAGAACCATGGTATATTACTAATTAGGCGAGTAAAACGTAAAAGCGTTGGGCCTTTTTGTATGTTCCAGTACTCGCAATGCAGCTGAAAGCAAAACGTTTCAATTAGAGAGGGAGCTAGACATCACTGTCGCCCACCAGTATGCAATGAAAGACAGAACGTTCGTGACAATGCGCACGGGATATAAGGAAGGAAGTTGAATTAATGCAGACCCATGGCATAGTTAAATGTAAAAGCGTTTGGCCTGTTGTATCTTACCTAAAGAGAACAGTCTGTGACAGTCGTTGCTTTGAAGCTGACAGCAAAACGTTTCAATCAGAAAGACAGCCAAGGATCGGCGTCACATGCCAGTAAGACAAAAGGAACTTTTCCTTGAACACCCACTTGGATGAGTGATCATGTGACCCATTTTTAGTCTCCCGCGAAGGGGGGCGTTTTGTCTCTTCACGCAACGCTCCTCGAAACGGCTGTTCGCATTAGAAACACATATCCTTTTCCGATTTTAGCCAATTGCAGCTGCATCCTTCGCGATCGTGTCATGTGTGGTGCGAGTTATCTCCTATGAAGTCATTATTTGTCTTGGGGAGGAGCATTGTGTGACGAGACTGAAAAACGGCTGCGTGACGTGCGAGACTAACATCGATGGTAGGTTGTCCAAAGGTTGGCGCACGAGCGGCAGTGGAGTGTGTCGGATTTTTGTCGTGAAATCGAGTATCATTTACCATGAAACCAAGGTGTTATATGCAAAATTAGGCTGCCTTATTTTGAGGTATCATGCTCCTGATTATGCCGAACTTAAATACTTAAATATAAGTGCCTTGAGAAGCCTGGAATAATGAATAACCATGCTCTGTGAACGAGTCTCAATGGTCTTCTTCAGGTAATCAGTTCCCGACTATGGGCAAAGAAAAAGTCATCATACTTTGTAAACCTTCACAAGCCATCTTGAACGAACTATCCAAGGAGTCTTTCGCTTTGGCAGCCATCTTTGTTTACTAACTTGCGCGCGGTGAGGAGACTGAACACTACAAAATCAAACAGCCAATCAGACAAAAGTCTCCTTTGTTCTTCCTTAGGTAAGCTAGTGTTCACTGGGTGGTAAAAAAAAGGGGAAGGAAAGATGCAGTTTTTTAGACTGCAAAAAAGCCTGTACATTTGCGCAGGTAAAAAACGCACGCACGAGCGGTCAGCGAAAGGTCTGGAGCAGGTCTGAAAACTGAAATTGACGGACTGGCAAGAGACGTGAACAATTTTCTTTCTTTTTACACACTTAATGGCGTGTACTGTCCTTGTGCTTCGCGAGGGAAATTGAAGGAAAACAAAAATACACAAGATGCAGTGGAACCTCGATATAACGAAGGGCCAAGGGACTTGCAAAATTTTTCGCTATAAAGAGGTTTCGTTATATCGAGGTTCTTCCCCATATGTTTTACTATTACTGGGGTAAAGAAAATCGTTCGTTATACCGATGACTTCGTTTAATATATAAAGATTCGGGGGAACGTTTCACCTAGGGAAAAAATGGTCGGGAAGGCCGAGGGATGGGGGCGGCTTAATTCACTATTTGAGCGCATGGAATAGGCTAACAGTTTTGTAATCCAATTGTTTTCAGAACTAAAATACAAAGAAAAAATGTGCATCAGTGCTGGCATCATTGGTGCTGTAGTATATCAAGCATGAGACGCAGTGTTTTATCACCAGATGAAACACTGTGTCGAATACTTGATATTGCTACTCAAACAAAATGATTTTAGAAGGAGAAATTAAGGATGCAAAAATGAGCAGTATTTCTCTTGATTTCCAAACACTCATTAAACCATTTTTATGAGTATTAATGAATTTGAGAAAATATAACAATGCCATACTAAATTTTCATAATGCCCAAAAAGATATCGTAAAGTTATCCAAGGCGTTCACGTTTACAAAGGCTAATCAATGAATACGCAGTGCCCACGAATACTCTTTTTTTAACAGATTGATAATGTCCTCTGTCTTTTTTTTCTTTAACAGTCTGTAAGCTGAATTTGACTGTTAAGCTAAACAATGACAAGTTTTTCACAGCGCAGCAAAGCGATTTTATTGAAAAAATGTTAATAGATATTGTAATGCGTTTGAAAGTGAACAGAAAAACACACGTACAGTTAACTGTAAATTATTGGCAGGTAGATTAAGTTGTACTATATATTTTCTTACGATTTAGAGAGGTGCCAAATAATTACAAGAAAGCATAGTCCACAGGAAATTAATACTCATTTTTTTTCCTTTCTTTTACAAATCCTTCATGTCCTTATTTTTTGTTACAAAACAAGCATTGCAGAGTATTTTCGAATAGCAAGTAAAGGTAAACAAAAACGTATTTTTTTTATCTCCTTTTTAAATTACGTCAGAGTTTAGTCACATCAGCAAAGCAAGCAGCAGGCGCCGTTCCTTACGCTATAAAGGCCAGGCGCCCAAGGTATCCAATCACAAGAGCGCTGGCATAAATGGAGACAGAAGAGGACAGCGGCGAGGTAGCTCCATTAAAGGAAAGAGCTGAAAAAGAAAAGATACCTCTTACTAAGCTTAGTCACCTTAAAGATTATAAAGCTAAAGTAAAAACCGCGGATCAAGGGTAAAATTTACTGTTTTCCGTAAGGGATTTTTCTTCCAACCAGTTGTAAATATATCTGTAAGTACAATTTTCTTTGTGTCTGGCTCGTCTCGATCGATTATTTCTGGAATTTTGCTAATGAACACTTCCTGTAATATTAATTGCCGAGAGAGATACACTATACTTCACTTCCACATTTCCCATAATGCTCCTTATTTCCCAGGCCCCCCCAACTTTGCATAAGCATTGTTTTCAATTTCTCTTGGGACGGCTCTAACGCCCAAGAGAAATGGAAAACAAAGGTTATGCAAAATTTGGGGAGGGGGGAGAGGGGGGATAAGGTGCATTATGGGAGATGTGGAAGTGGCATGTGTAACTTATGTGCTTTTAGCATAAATCAGTATTGTTAGTCATTCAAAATATTTCTCCATTTATAATTGGCTTTGATCCCCATCTAATTCTTTATAACCATCAAACGTTGACTGGATTTAGAAATTCTTTACCATTATCAAGAGAAATGACTAACTTTGACGGATAATTTGACAGAAAAAATGGATATCAGAATACGTCGCCTCTTCATGCGCACCCGTTCATTGATCATCACACAACGTTCGTAGGAGAGTTGCGTGACGACACAAAGAACGGCTGCCAGTTGGATACCAAAGAAGGCGCGGTAGCTCAGCTTCTCTGGTGCTAAGAACTATAGAAAATGCCGGCGTTATGCGACAAAATAGTCGAAATACTATCTAAGATGATAGCAAGAATAGCACAAATACCCCTCAACGGACAACAACTGCTTATAGAATATATGCTAGACTAAACATTCCTTTACACTCTCAATCTTCAAAGGAAGATGCAAATGTTTTGAAGACGGGGACGTCCCGCCCACGGTTTTCGAACCACAAAAAAAAGCAAACGACGATGCAGTTGCAAACGAAAGTTCCTTGCAATTTGTTGCAGAGATCAACGCATTGACAAATTCTTAAGCCTGAGAGGGAGTGTAACACAGATATATACCATTTTCGGAAAATAGCCCAGGCCATGAGGAAGGCTTAAGTTTGTTAGTGGGTTAATATATTGCCAGCCTTGCTTTCCGCCATTTGAAGTGGAATATAACACAAAACTGAGTTTTGTTTTAATTTTCACTTCATATGACGTCTTGCTCTAGCATCTAGAGTTTTGGCGAGAAAGAACCAGTCGGTTTTATTAACGGGTTGAGTTGACCTCTACTTAAGATTTTTACCATTTTTGGGTCTTAGTTTTGTACATGTAAGTTAAAACATGGACGCAGTAAAGAGCAGTTTTGTAACAATCGAACCTCACCTTTAATGCACTTTCCTTTGGTTACCTTTGACTTTCTGTATCCCTTTTTACATCTGCATATTCCGTTGTGACACATCTCATGCGCATTACACTTGACCTTGACACAGTTATTTGCTACAATGATGAAAACAAGAAGTCATTTTGATAAATTGAGAATTAAAATATTAAGCAAGTAGAAAAAGTACACCGGTCAAAGAAAACTTATCTTTCAAGAGTTTTATGAACGTATTATTAGGCTTCCTTTCCCTCCCCACCCTGGAAGGGAATGCAAAGCACAGCAGTCTCTCTAACATTGATCCATTTGCCGTTTTTTAAGATAACCCAAGTGATTTGCGTGGAGAAAAGCTGCCTTTT